CACACTGGGTGCGCTGGCCCGGCTGGGCGTTGCCAGGGCCGGGTGCATGGCACACTGGGTGCAGAGGCCCGGCTGGGGTTGCAGGGGTCAGAAGTGGGGGTAGACACTGTGAAGCGCGGGGTTGCAGGGGAAACCAAGGCCGGGGGTGTGCAGGGGGGTGCAAAGGCGAGCCGCGGGTGAGGGGGTGAACTGGGTGCGTGCCGGTGGGGTTGCAGGGGAAAGCAAGCGTTGTTGCCAGGGCGGGACAACGGGGGTGGGAGGGGGGGACATGGGTGCGAGGCGGCTGGTGTGAGGGCTGGGCATGCACACTGGGTAGAGGCCCGTGTTGAGGGGATGGGGCAGGCCGGTGTGCCAGAATGGGTGCAGCCGTCGCCAGTGCGGCACAGGGCGCCGTGTGCAGCGTGGGCACACGGCGGCCCCGGCCAGCACACCCCCGCAGGCACACGTGCAGAGGCCCGCGGTTGCCAGGCGGTGCCACACCCGGCGGGTGTGCCAGGGCCGGTGCATGGCACACTGGGTGCAGAGGCCCGGCTGGCGTTGCCAGGGCCGGTGCAGGCACACTGGGTGCGGGCCCGGCTGGGTGTTGCCAGGGCGGGTGCACAGCTGGGTTGCCAGGGCGGGTGCATGGCACACTGGTGCAGAGGCCCGGCTGGTGTTGCCAGGGCCGGGTGCATGGCACACTGGGTGCGCTGGCCCGGCTGGGGTTGCCAGCCCCGCAGCCCCAGGGCGCAGGCCACTGGTGCAGCCCGCGGTGCCAGGGCGGGTGCAGGCACACTGGGTGCAGAGGCCCGCGGGGTTGCCAGGGGGGTGCATGCACACTGGGGCAGAGCCCGGCGGGTTGCCAGGGGGTCATGGCACACTGGCGTGCCCGCTGGGTGTTGCCAGGGCCGGGTGCATGGCACACTGGGTGCAGAGGCCCGGCTGGGCGTTGCCAGGGCCGGGTGCATGGCACACTGGGTGCGCTGGCGGCTGGGCGTTGCCAGGGCGGGTGCAGGCACACTGGGTCTGGCCGGCGGGGTTGCAGGGCGGGTGCAGGCACACTGGGTGCCGCCGCCGAAGGGCGGGTTGCCAGGGCGGGTGCAGGCACACTGGGTGCAGAGGCCCGGCTGGGTTGCAGGGGGGTGCATGGCACACTGGGTGCAGAGGCCCGGCTGGGTGTTGCCAGGGCCGGGTGCATGGCACACTGGGTCGCTGGCCCGGCTGGGGTTGCCAGGGCCGGGTGCATGGCACACTGGGTGCAAGGCCGGCTGGGCGTTGCCAGGGCGGGTGCATGGCACACTGGGTGCGTGGCGGCTGGGCGTTGCCAGGGCGGGTGCATGGCACACTGGGTGCAGAGGCCCGGGGTGCGGGGGCGGGTGCATGGAACTGGGTGCAGAGGCCCGGCGGGTGTTGCCAGGGCGGGTGCATGGCACACTGTGGCCCGGCTGGGCGTTGCCAGGGCCGGGTGCATGGCACACTGGGTGCACTGGCCCGGCTGGGTGTTGCCAGGGCCGGGTGCATGGCACACTGGGTGCAGAGGCCCGGCCGGGCGTTGCCAGGGCCGGGTGCATGGCACACTGGGTGCAGAGGCCCGGCCGGGCGTTGCCAGGGCCGGGTGCATGGCACACTGGGTGCAGAGGCCCGGCCGGGCGTTGCCAGGGCCGGGTGCATGGCACACTGGGTGCAGAGGCCCGGCCGGGCGTTGCCAGGGCCGGGTGCATGGCACACTGGGTGCGCTGGCCCGGCTGGGTGTTGCCAGGGCCGGGTGCATGGCACACTGGGTGCAGAGGCCCGGCCGGGCGTTACCAGGGCCGGGTGCACGGCACACTGGGTGCGCTGGCCCGGCTGGACGTTGCCAGGGCGAGGTGCATGGCACACTGGGTGCGCTGGCCCGGCTGGGTGTTGCCAGGGCCGGGTGCATGGCACACTGGGTGCAGAGGCCCGGCCGTGTGTTGCCAGGGCCGGGTGCATGGCACACTGGGTGCGGGCCGGCGGTTGCCAGGGCGGGTGCATGGCACACTGGGTGCAGAGGCCCGGCTGGGTGTTGCCAGGGCCGGGTGCATGGACACTGGGTGGTGGCCCGGCTGGGTGTTGAGGGGGTGCATGGCACACTGGGTGCAGAGGCCGGCTGGGCGTTGCAGGGGGGTGATGGCACACTGGGTGGGGGGCGTTGCCAGGGCGGGTGCATGGCACACTGGGTGCAGAGGCCCGGCTGGGCGTTGCCAGGGCCGGGTGCATGGCACACTGGGTGCAGAGGCCCGGCTGTTGCAGGGCGGGTGCATGGCACACTGGGTGCGCTGGCCCGGCTGGGTGTTGCCAGGGCCGGGTGCATGGCACACTGGGTGCAGAGGCCCGGCTGGGCGTTGCCAGGGCGGGTGCATGGCACACTGGGTGCGCTGGCCCGGCTGGGCGTTGCCAGGGCCGGGTGCATGGCACACTGGGTGCAGAGGCCCGGCTGGGTGTTGCCAGGGCCGGGTGCATGGCACACTGGGTGCGTGGCCCGGCTGGGTGTTGCCAGGGCCGGGTGCATGGCACACTGGGTGCAGAGGCCCGGCTGGGTGTTGCCAGGGCTGGGTGCATGGCACACTGGGTGCAGAGGCCCGGCTGGGTGTTGCCAGGGCCGGGTGCATGGCACACTGGGTGCGCTGGCCCGGCTGGGTGTTGCCAGGGCCGGGTGCATGGCACACTGGGTGCAGAGGCCCGGCCGGCGTTGCCAGGGCCGGGTGCATGGCACACTGGGTGCGCTGGCCCGGCTGGGCGTTGAGGGCGGGTGCATGGCACACTGGGTGCGCTGGCCCGGCTGGGTGTTGCAGGGTCGGGTGCATGGCACACTGGGTGCAGAGGCCCGGCGGGTGTTCCAGGGGGGTGCATGGACACTGGGTGCGGGCCGGTGGGTGTTGCAGGGTGCATGCACAGAGGCCCGGCGGGCGTGCAGGGGGGTGCAGGACACTGGGTGCGAGGCCCGCTGGGTGTTGAGGGGGTGCAGGACACTGGGTGCAGGCCCGCGGGTGTTGCAGGGCGGGTGCATGGCACACTGGGTGCAGAGGCCCGGCTGGGTGTTGCCAGGGCCGGGTGCATGGCACACTGGGTGCAGAGGCCCGGCTGGGCGTTGCCAGGGCCGGGTGCATGGCACACTGGGTGCGCTGGCCCGGCTGGGTGTTGCCAGGGCCGGGTGCATGGCACACTGGGTGCAGAGGCCCGGCTGGGCGTTGCCAGGGCCGGGTGCATGGCACACTGGGTGCGCTGGCCCGGCTGGGCGTTGCCAGGGCCGGGTGCATGGCACACTGGGTGCGCTGGCCCGGCTGGGTGTTGTCAGGGCTGGGTGCATGGCACACTGGGTGCAGAGGCCCGGCTGGGTGTTGCCAGGGCCGGGTGCATGGCACACTGGGTGCAGAGGCCCGGCTGGGTGTTGCCAGGGCCGGGTGCATGGCACACTGGGTGCAGAGGCCCGGCCGGGCGTTGCCAGGGCTGGGTGCATGGCACACTGGGTGCGGCATGGCCCGGCTGGGTGTTGCCAGGGCCGGGTGCATGGCACACTGGGTGCGGGGCCCCGGCGGGGTTGCCAGGGCGGGGTGCATGGCACACTGGGTGCGCTGGCCCGGCTGGGTGTTGCCAGGGCCGGGTGCATGGCACACTGGGTGCAGAGGCCCGGCTGGGTGTTGCCAGGGCCGGGTGCATGGCACACTGGGTGCGCTGGCCCGGCTGGGTGTTGCCAGGGCCGGGTGCATGGCACACTGGGTGCAGAGGCCCGGCTGGGTGTTGCCAGGGCTGGGTGCATGGCACACTGGGTGCAGAGGCCCGGCTGGGTGTTGCCAGGGCCGGGTGCATGGCACACTGGGTGCACTGGCCCGGCTGGGTGTTGCCAGGGCCGGGTGCATGGCACACTGGGTGCAGAGGCCCGTCCGGGCGTTGCCAGGGGGTGCAGGCACACTGGGTGGTGGCCCGGCTGGGTTGCAGGGGGGTGCATGGACACTGGGTGGTGGGGCTGGTGTGCAGGGCGGGTGCATGGCACACTGGGTGCAGAGGCCCGGCTGGGTGTTGCCAGGGCCGGGTGCATGGCACACTGGGTGCAGAGGCCCGGCTGGGTGTTGCCAGGGCCGGGTGCATGGCACACTGGGTGCGGAGGCCCGGCTGGGTGTTGCCAGGGCCGGGTGCATGGCACACTGGGTGCAGAGGCCCGGCTGGGTGTTGCCAGGGCCGGGTGCATGGCACACTGGGTGCAGAGGCCCGGCTGGGTGTTGCCAGGGCCGGGTGCATGGCACACTGGGTGCGCTGGCCCGGCTGGGTGTTGCCAGGGCCGGGTGCATGGCACACTGGGTGCAGAGGCCCGGCTGGGCGTTGCCAGGGCCGGGTGCATGGCACACTGGGTGCAGAGGCCCGGCTGGGCGTTGCCAGGGCCGGGTGCATGGCACACTGGGTGCAGAGGCCCGGCTGGGGTTGCCAGGGCGGGTGCATGGCACACTGGGTGCGCTGGCCCGGCTGGGTGTTGCCAGGGCCGGGTGCATGGCACACTGGGTGCAGAGGCCCGGCTGGGGTTGAGGGCGGGTGGATGGGTGCACTGGGTGAGAGGCCCGGCTGGGCGTTGCCAGGGCCGGGTGCATGGCACACTGGGTGCAGAGGCCCGGCCGGGCGTTGCCAGGGCCGGGTGCATGGCACACTGGGTGCAGAGGCCCGGCTGGGTGTTGCCAGGGCCGGGTGCATGGCACACTGGGTGCAGAGGCCCGGCCGGGCGTTGCCAGGGGGGTGCAGCACACTGGGTGCGGCCTGGACGTTGCAGGGCGGGTGCATGGCACACTGGGTGCAGTGGCCCGGCTGGGCGTTGCCAGGGCCGGGTGCATGGCACACTGGGTGCAGAGGCCCGGCCGGGCGTTGCCAGGGCCGGGTGCATGGCACACTGGGTGCAGTGGCCCGGCCGGGCGTTGCCAGGGCCGGGTGCATGGCACACTGGGTGCAGAGGCCCGGCCGGGCGTTGCCAGGGCCGGGTGCATGGCACACTGGGTGCAGAGGCCCGGCCGGGCGTTGCCAGGGCCGGGTGCATGGCACACTGGGTGCAGAGGCCCGGCCGGGCGTTGCCAGGGCCGGGTGCACTGGCAGATCGATGGCCGCCTGGTGCGCTGCCCCGGCTCGGCCCGCGGGCTGTGGCCGGGCTCGGCTGGTGGCGCTGGCGCGACTCGGGGCGTGGCGGGTGCTGGGCGCGGAGCCCTGGGGACGCGTCACCGCTGCCCGCGCGCAGCCGGCTCCTCCAATGGGGCAGGGCCAGGTCAGGCCGGGGCCGGGCGCGGGGCGCGTCGCACGTCCGCAGCCGCCCGGGCGGGAAATCCCAGCCGCGCCTCGCGGGGCGGGGCCGCCGGCCGGGTCTAGGCCCGCGCGCGCCGGGCGGCCCCGCACAGAGCCGCGCCATGGGCCGCTGCCACCTGCGCCGGCTGCTGCTGCTGCTGCTGCTGGGGCTGCTCGGGGCGGCCGCTGCGGGGCCGCCGCTGCCGGGCTCCGCGGAGCAGAGGTGCTTCTGCCAGGTGAGAGAGCCTCCGGCCCGGCCCGTGCGCCCCGCGGTGCCCGTCCGTCCGTCCTCTCCCTCCCGCTGCCCCTCCCCGCGGGGTCCGTCCCTCTGTCCGTCCGTCCTGTCCCCCCCCGCTCCTGCCCCTGCGATGTCTGTCCGTCTGTCCTCTCCCCCTATGTGCGCCTTCCCACGGTGTCTGTCTGTCCGTTTGTCTGTCCGTCCGTCCTCTCCCCTGCTGTCTGCGCCTCCCCCAGGTGTGTGTCTGTCCGTCCGTCCGTCTATCCTCTCGCCCCATCTGGGCCTCCCCTTGGTGTCTGTCACAGCCTCCGTGTTTTATTCCCCATCCCCACAACCCTGTTACCTGCATGTTTCTCTCTCCTGTGGGCTCCCCACACCTGTCACAGCCTCCCCTACCTGTCTCCTCTCTGTATCTGGGGTGACCGGATGTCCCAATTTCATAGGGACAGTCCTGATATTTGGGGCTTTGTTTTATATAGGCACCTATTACCCCCTACCCCATACCGATTTTTCACACTTGCTATCTGGTTACTGTCTGAACACTCACTAATCTTCTCCTTAATCCAGGTTGTCCAGAAGGGTGGGTCTCCAGACCTGTGCGAGGGTTAGGGCTGGCTTGGCAGTGCTGGAGTTTGAAGGTCTCTGCTAACTCTTCCAACAATTGACCAAGGGTCGTGGTGGATTCTCCATCACAGAGAATTTTTCAGTCAAGGCAGGATTGTGTTTCTAAAAGCTCTGTTCTAGGAATTATTTTGGGGCATTCTCTGGCCTGAACTATGTAGGAGGTCAGACTAGGTCAGGGGTTCTCAAACTTCATTGCACTGCGACCCCCTTCTGACAACAAAAATTACTACAGGACCCCAGAAGCCTGAGCCCACCCAAGCCCCGCCACCCAAGGAGGGGGGCCAACCCAAAGCCCCACTTCCCCAGGCCGGGGGGCTGCTCAGGGGCCAAAGGCTTCAGCCCCAGGCAGGGGGCCTGTAACCTGAGCCCTGCCGCCCAGAGCTGAAGCCCTCGGGCTTGGGCTTTGGCCCCGGGTCCCAGCAAGTCTCAACCAGCCCTGGCGACCCCATTGAAATGGGGTCATGACCCACTTTGGGGTCCCAACCCACAGTCTGCGAACTGCTGGGTTAGGTGATCACAATGGTCCCTTCTGGCCTTGGAATCTATGAAACCCTAGGCACAGCACAGACAGCAGCAGTACATGCTGTCCGGTACAGCCCTGCTGACAGCCCTGCTGAGCTGGAGGGACCCATCATCAAGGGGTGAGAGACAGTATACTTTGCAGGCTTATTTATAGTCCTTAGGCCAGGGGGAGTCAAAAGGGGGACTGAGGGCCAAATCTTGACCACCAGATGCTTTTGAACAGACCCCAAAATCTTTTTATTTACTATTTCTTCTTCTTCTTGTTTTTTACTATTTTCTCTGAAGTCTGGATCTTGACTATACCTTGACCAAGAAATTTGGACATTTGCAAAAAAATAGACTATCCCTGGTCTAAGGTATTTTAAGGATGTGCATCACTATAGTATCTGAGGGTGAAATCTTCCTATCTGTCCTATTTCTCACTTGTCACATTCCCAGGAGTCAGGACTATTCCTTATGCTTCTGACATTCAGGAGAGAGAGGAGAGCAAGAGAGAGATTTTGACAGGTATTGAGATTTGTCCTGTGTACAAGCCTCTCTTGTAGAAGAGATTAAAATATAAAATCCAGTGTTAAGACTGTAATGTATAATAAAATTTTTGTTGCAATGTTAACTCTTCCATATTGCATATGCTGGCTCTTATTCTCAGCCGGTGTAAAGCAGCATAGCTCCATTAACTTACACCAGCTGAGGATCTGTTCTGCTATGTATGACTAAACAACAGCCATGTATGTGCAAGGTAAGGACCAGATCTTGCAATTATATGAACGAACCCCATGCAGAATCCCCAACTTCAGGGCCTAGATGAGTTAAAATCCCCCAATCTGGGGTCTAGATGAGTTAAAATTGCAATGAAGTATTTAACACTTTCATTTTCTGACCCATGTTTAAACCTTGTAACCTCAATGTGACAATAATAGATTTTGCATTAACTTCCTCTTTCTTTTCCATCTATAAAAAAGGAAGTGGGAAATGGGAACTATGGAGTTGCACAACTGGCTTGGGTTAATAATCATTTTCATGTACATAGCCTCTTCCAGTTGTGGATCTCAATGCCCACAGATTTGATATTCAGATGTCAGACATAAACTGCTGATAAAGAATAAAAAATGTTCAGTTCTTTAAAGGTGTTTTGACTCTATACAACCATAGAGACTGAATAGAAATTGGGAGAAAGAGGCATTAATTAACACAAGTACAAGTCTAATGAAAAGCAAGTACCACTGTATAAAGCAGTATGGGACAGACATAGAATAGTGCTTTGCATATGCACACTGAAAAGGTTAAGGAGTACTTGTGGCACCTTAGAGACTAACCAATTTATTTGAGCATGAGCTTTCGTGAGCTACAGCTCACTTCATCGGATGCATACCGTGGAAACTGCAGCAGATATTATATACACACAGAGATCATGAAACAATACCTCCTCCCACCCCACTGTCCTGCTGGTAATAGCTTATCTAAAGTGATCATCAAGTTGGGCCATTTCCAGCACAAATCCAGCTTTTCTCACCCTCCACCCCCCTACACACAAACTCACTCTTCTGCTGGTAATAGCCCATCCAAAGTGACAACTCTCTTCACAATGTGCATGATAATCAAGGTGGGCCATTTCCTGCACAAATCCAGGTTCTCTCACCCCCTCCAAAAACCACACACACAAACTCACTCTCCTGCTGGTAAAAGCTCATCCAAAGTGACCACTCTCCCTACAATGTGCATGGTAATCAAGGTGGGCCATGTCCAGCACAAATCCAGGCTCTCTCACCCCCCCTTCTCCCCCCCCCCACCCCGGACACACACACACACAAACTCACTCTCCTGCTGGCAATAGCTCATCCAAACTGACCACTCTCCAAGTTTAAATCCAAGTTTAACCAGAACGTCTGGGGGGAGGGGGTAGGAAAAAACAAGGGGAAATAGGTTACCTTGCATAATGACTTAGCCACTCCCAGTCTCTATTTAAGCCTAAATTAATAGTGTCCAATTTGCAAATGAATTCCAATTCAGCAGTTTCTCGCTGGAGTCTGGATTTGAAGTTTTTTTTGTTTTAAGATAGCGACCTTCATGTCTGTGATTGCGTGACCAGAGAGATTGAAGTGTTCTCCGACTGGTTTATGAATGTTATAATTCTTGACATCTGATTTGTGTCCATTTATTCTTTTACGTAGAGACTGTCCAGTTTGACCAATGTACATGGCAGAGGGGCATTGCTGGCACATGATGGTATATATCACATTGGTGGATGTGCAGGTGAACGAGCCTCTGATAGTGTGGCTGATGTTATTAGGCCCTGTGATGGTGTCCTCTGAATAGATATGTGGGCACAGTTGGCAACGGGCTTTGTTGCAAGGATAAGTTCCTGGGTTAGTGGTTCTGTTGTGTGGTATGTGGTATGTGATCTTTGTGTGTATATAATATCTGCTGCAGTTTCCACGGTATGCATCCGATGAAGTGAGCTGTAGCTCACGAAAGCTCATGCTCAAATAAATTGGTTAGTCTCTAAGGTGCCACAAGTCCTCCTTTTCTTTTTGCGAATACAGACTGACACGGCTGCTACTTTGAAACTGAAAAGGTCGTTCTTTTTTCCTTTTCCTTTGGGGGGGGGATGTTTGGCACTATAACTTGTGCATCTGAGCTCTCTAAAGCCAGATTTTTTTTTTCTGCTGCCTTTTCTTTTAGAATATAATTTGTTTTGTTAATAGCATTTTTCATAATCGAGGTATCCCAAACTTTGTCACCTATACAATACAGGGGTTTGGGTATGTGCTGACAGTGTAAGGAACGAGAATAGCTTGTATGTCCTCATTAGCTCAGACGTGGCACAGGACGACACTGGGGATGTTAGTACAGACTTAAGATAAAACTAGTGCTTACAACATTTCAGATGCTGGACCAAATAGGTCCTGATTCTGCAATGAGCTCCACATGGGCTGGTTTCACTGAGGCTCCCCATGGGGGAGATTGGGGCCTAACTTTTTTGACAGTTACGTTACAGTTCCTTTACATTAAGGCCACTACCCAGTTCCGAAACTTTATCAGAAACGGCAGTGTATAACTAAAAACAACTTAACAATTTCACATAATGTTGCTGCTTTACCATCTGTTTCATTAGCACTAAATATCATTTCAATATCCCCGTTCCAATAACTTTACAAACAGCTCATCCTCCACTCAGATATTCTTGTTTATGATGCATTATATGCTTTAATCAATCATTAAAGTCTCCCTGTGGACTCCCAGCAACTTATTGCACATATGTTGTTTACAGACCTGTGTAGTTCCTTTGTGGAAACACTGCAGCTGTTTGGTGATGGGCAGTCTGGATTTTGGTCAAACATTGTGCAGTTAGGCAAATGAAGGTTATTCAAATAACACAAGGGTGGGGTTTTTTTTGGTTTTTTTTTTTTTTGGTCAGTTTGGTACCTGGCCATAATAGAAAATGTGAAAAGTTGGGCCTCAAGAATATCTGATCCTTTGCTCCTTGAACAGATTTTTAACTCATGTTCCTTTTATTTTTATTATTTATTTGTAATTATGATAGTGCCTAGGAGCCCTTGTCACCCTTCTGATCAAGAACTCCGCATGTGTTAGGTGCTGTACAGAGACAGAACAAAAAGATGGTCCCCAGAGAGCTTACAATCTAAGTATAAGACAAGAGACAACAGATGGATACAGACAGAAAGGGGAAGTCAAGGAAACAGTGAGACAATATTGATCAGTGTGCTCGGGCGTGGTATCAGCACACTAATGGCTGTCAAGTTTTTGGTAGGCAACATGGCAAAGGAGAGTTTTTTTGGAAGGATTTAAAGGGGGAGAATGACAGGGCTTTGCGGATGTCTTTGGGGAGTT